ATATATATGGAAACAATAATTCAAATACAGATCGAATTTTACAGTAAATAATTTACAAGGAATTTTCAGACTCTGAAATTTATATTAAAGGCGAAAACTAATATCAGCAAACAATGAAATAATGAGTTAAGAATACATGGCTTAAATCTTGTCAGAGTGAGGAAGGGTGTTAGGAATAGTTAGGAGAAATGTAGCTAAAGCCGCTGGGGGCTTTGAGGTAATTGAGGGAGACAAAAATGGAATAAATATTACGTTGAGGGGTAAACAAATGCCGACTGAAAAGGTATAAGAGCTAATCCTTGTAGAAATTGAAAGTGAAAGCCCGATATAACAAAATAGATTTCATTGTTTCCGTTTTGAAGTATATATAATGCTCAGTTGATTAAACAGGCGTTTGTTGACTCTTCCACATCATTTCAACAGCTAGAAATTTCCGTCTAGGGTTTAGCATCTTAACATTGTTTTCTGAAAAAGCACGTGAACATACTTTCTTTTTAAAACTATTGCAGTAGTAGATAAAATTCAAAGACAATCCAGGTAATTTTTTAGAAATTTTTTAAAGATTATGTGCCAATGTAGGGATACTAATAAATTGAACAACTAATATAAAACGTATTGTGTTTTAACTTGATTATGCATGTATCTTTATTGTTGGATTAAGAGAGTATTCCAACAGGATTAGTCCTTTTTCGCAATTTTAGCGTTATTTCCCGATATGCTCTTTTTTGTTCGTTTTTTTCCGTATTGTATTTTTAAAGAGCATGTTAAATAAAACAAATTTAAAAAAAAATACCCAAATACCTGCGCCAGACACCAAAAATAGTTAGAGCTGTCAATCTATTGAGACTCCATTAACAACAAATTTCTGTCCACGGATGGATTATGTAGGTGGTATTAGTGCGGAGCCTGGTTTATGTAGTGATAACGCACCCGGGAAAAATAAGAACCTGGGAAAAATAAGGTTTCAAACACTACTATTAATTACATGAACAATCTGATGAGACTACATTACGCCAATATATGCCTAATCTGAGATTACATAGGCCTTACGTGGCAAGCCTTAATCGAGCGGTCCAGAATTTGACACACCCCCTACTATACTCTGGTGCGCGTTTTCTGCCTGTTGAAGCCGGAAAATATATAAATAACATTATAAAATCTGCAATACCTTTGATCAGCACCAAATAAAGTCGGATACATGTAATATTGTCAGGGTGTGAAAAACAGTCTAGTAATCTTTGAGTTATTCCCCCTGAAGGACACACACACCACAGACAGACAGACAGACAGACACCACGACAGACAGACCGACAGACAGACAGACACATCACACACGGAGAAGTGCGCACTTGCAATACACTTCACCTGTATATGGGAGCGCTTAAGTGCCATCCTACTTGACGACTTCTCAAGATTAATACTTGACAAGTCGACATAATATACATGTCATGTCGACATGCACAGATACATTTTCCTGCCATGTCGACCTATCAACTTTTAAAAGTTGCCACGGTCTTACCATGCATGGTTACCTGTCTTTTGAAAGGCGATGTTAACAACTTTCTGTTCACAGACGGATGTAGATCGCATTAGGGCGGAGCCTGGTGTATGTAGTGATAAGCACCTGGGAAAACATAGACGGTAGGCCTATATAAAGAACAATTTTTCTAGTTACAACAGTTCCTGCCGTGAATTACTGAAGTTGCTTAAGAAGCTCAAGCTGATATTTAACCAATAACAGTGCGAGAACCAAAGGTAGAAGTATTTTTTCAATTTGTTTTCGTCTATATTAGGATGACGTTTTATTTGTTTCATGGACTTGCCATTACTTTTACTGTCTCAGTCATATTTGACTTTTAAGAATTATTATAATTTACCAGTATTAAATTACATACAACCTTTGAATATACGCTACTGCAAAATAGTTATACATGATACATCACTACTGTTCTATAACTTATTTCCAGTTAAATACGTTATACAAAATGATGGAGTAGATGATTGTGTTCAATGTTGTCGCAGCTATGGGAGTGTCCCGCAAATAAATTTGTTTTAAATATGGAGTACTACAGCGTTACGTCACGATACTACGTACTCTGTTGTTCGGCGACACAAAATGAGTTCAAACGACGCCATTTTCTCTATTCACAAACCATTGATCCCAATCTCTAACGTATTTACTAAGAAGTTGTGTCTTACTTTTTCTTTGTAAATGTTAATTGATGATTAAATGTGTGTTTGATAACTAATATAATGCGAGCTTTTCGTGTTTTTAGTACATTTTGATGGTAAATTATTAGGCATTGGCAGATCTGTGGGGGTCATAAGTCCTGACCCTCCCCCCTTGGAAAAAAAAAAATTCTCTGTGTACCGGTAGCGATTTCTTTTTTCGGACGAAACATTTACATGAAACTCCACTCGGGCCGTCTCGGCTGAATCGACCCGAAAATCTCATTGCA